GTGTGTGTGTGTGTGTGTGTGTGTGTGTGTGTGTGTGTGTGTGTGTGTATGTATGTATGTATGTATGTATGTATGTATGTATGTATGTATGTATGTATGTATGTATGTATGTATGTATGTATGTATGTATGTATGTATGTATGTATGTATGTATGTATGTATGTATGTATGTATGTATGTATGTATGTATGTATGTATGTATGTATGTATGTATGTATGTATGTATGTATGTATGTATGTATGTATGTATGTATGTATGTATGTGTGTGTGTATGTATGTATGTATGTATGTATGTATGTATGTATGTATGTATGTATGTATGTATGTATGTATGTATGTATGTATGTATGTATGTATGTATGTATGTGTATCGTAAAAGACAAATAATTAATAACTTAAATTAGCATAAAGATACATAGGCCTATACTGTTCATCCCGCCCCCCTCAGACTCATAAGTTTGACATTCTGCAACTTTGTAATGCAATAAGAAAAATTACTAAAATCTCACGCAATAATACCTTAGGGTTCCATCAATCAACTGACACTTTTCTTTTGTAGCTTGGTCACGAACATTTTTAGTCATACAACCTTTCCCATTAGTATAATGTGTGGCCTCCTCTTGTGTGGATTAGTGCCTGGCATCTCCTGAGCATGGATGCTATCAGATGTCTGAAGTTGGCCTCTTGGATGGCCGCCAACTCTTTCTGAAGTGCCTGGATTGAGTCTGCTCAATCTAACTCATATCTACAAACAGCGATGGTCAGGGAAGGGTTTGAATGTTACTGGCAACCAGAAACTGCGTGGTCAACTGTGCAGAATGGGGTCTGGCACTGTCCTATTAAAAATTTATCTGTTGGCATCCCAAAATTGAAGGACACGTGGTCGAAGAATTTTATGAACGTAACATTTAGCTTTCCAACTTCCTTTAATCTGCACCAGTTGAGTCATTCCGTTGTAACTGATCACTCCCCACACCATAAGCCCTCCACCACCGTGCAGCTGAGCTTCATCAGAACAATTTTTCATTCCCCACACCATTATCCCTCCACCACTGTTGTCGTGAAGTGAGCAGCCAACCTTACACGATGGAAGAGACGTGACTCTGACTTCTCTAAGCAGGCAGTCACATTTCAAACTTAAACCCGTCCGGAGTGGGTATATAGTCCCTTATAATGATATATACCTCTATCTGGTAAAATATTCATTTCTAGACCCTCTAGTTGCTTTGATAAATCTTCATTTTCAAATTTGCAACTGTAGGTTGAAGATTTCTGGTGTTTAATTCAGAAATTCCTGTAAGCCGGTTTACTCCTTGAACATGAATACAGGGGAACTTCTTTCCTGGTGACGCCAAGTTTAGGTTTTAGCGGCATTCTTTTGCCTGATTCCTAAGTGTCAAGACGTGTATACAGTCTATGTAGAAAATTGGCGCATTCAAAGTACCAGTTCTATATTTGAAGAATTCCTAAGCTTGGGTAAGTTGATTATAGTTTACGAGTACCATAATATATGTCTTTTTAAAGTTGGCTGCAGAGAGGGAAGATTCAGCTGTGTGATCGCACAGAGTTGGGCCGTTCTTGATGTCCAGAGATCAGGCTCCGAACATTACACCTTTCCCTGGGCAGACTAAATAGTTTGTACTCTACATAACCCACACCATTTGTAAAGATATTAAACCCTACAAGTAATTATTCTCTGACCAGACAAACGAAGTGCTGTGCCTCCTAGCAGAAATATGGAAACTGGGTCATCTTTTAAGTAACTGCTGTGACGTCATAGCTAGAAGCTCTGAGTCAAAAGTGTGTTTGACACAGATTCAGTGGGTGTGTAGTGAACAGCCTGTGGAGACGTGAAATTTATATAGGTACTAACTGTATACATTGTATGTCTGCGAGTGCAGATGGTGGTGGAGAGAGGATGATCTATGTGTGGTCCATCTCCAATATAAACCTTGTCTTCTATCTGTTGCACTAATTTACAGACAGATAAATGAAAGTAGACATTGTCTCCTGTTCTTGAGAGTTACATTCAGAGGAATGGAGAAGGGTAGCAAAGTGTGGGGTGAGCTGGTGTGTGAAAAAGGTTGATTACTAATTCTGAGTTCTTTCCTGACAGGATGATACCTCCTTAGAGATCAGGCAGACGAATCACAGTCCAGCCAACAACCATCAACCCATACCATTCTGGGCACCAAGCATACACAAAAGTCCAGCCTATTGTGCCACTACCTCAACATGGCAAGAGCTTGTTTGTGAGTTCCAGGACTAGTGGACAATTGCAGACACCTATGTCATCAATCCAGAGAACCAGTCTTCAAGAGCTTTGTTGGGCTCTTATGCAGTTCTTGTGTCCTCACCTGTGAAACAGTCGGCGGGCACCACAGTCTCCAAGAGCTTTGTTGGGTTCCTGTGCAGTTCCTGTGTCCTCGCTTGGGAGACAGTCAGCTTGTACCATATCAAATCGAGGCATAGTTACCTACTGAGTCAACTACAGTCGAA